CCTGACTGGTCACCGAATGGTCACTGAATGATATGGCTAGGTGTCACAAACAGTGGCGCTCATGCATCCAATCATTGTTCTTGCAACGTCAGTCTTCCGCTTGAATTTGCGTTCAACATTCCAATATTTATTCTGCTCTTTTCTCCAAATGAATGGTCAAAAGACAGCAACCGAAACCGGGGCGTGAAAGTGCACGGTTAGTGATTGTGAAAGCTGAACTGAAACTGGAACAGAGCACAGGAATAGACACACTCCTTGTGGATCTCATCGCCACCGCTCGACCGACAGGATTCCGCTCACCTGCTCGAGGATTGTCACCATTCCATCAAGTGTTCGTCGATAAGTCTTTGTACTTCTCTACCACCTCCAAAAAGAATGAGGTTTACCGAGTAGCCGGTATTCTGAGCGGATGATTGTTTCTAAAGGAACTCCCGGAGACTCTAGCTTCTCAAGTAGTAGATGGCGGCAAAGGATCCAATTAAAGGTCCATATTGGGAATTTAGCACTAATTTCGCATCTCATATCGTGACCAACACTATACAGCAGACAGGTTGAATCGCTGCGAAGTCTCCCATAGTTGACTGGGAACAGAGCTTTTTATTTGGTTTCGCTAGTTCCAGCAAATTGGGTGTATGTCGTCGAACCCGTTCGAATTTCACTACTTCGGTGATAGTACATTGACATGTATATATCAGGCCCCATATGGTCGAACCTTGGGTGAATGTAGTATGCATGCATCATTCTGAAGACCGTGATGAACGATGACAAATCGTATCGAGCATGTCTCTCACGGTGGATAATGATCTCTCAGTTCATTGGTGTCTGCATCTTCGTTGTGGAGAACACCATCCCTCAAGGAGTCCTCTCGGTTGCCACAGGTCAGAATGAGACACTACGTACCGTATTACCAAATACGACAATTTGTCGTTCCCCGCACTTGACTGTGTGTGTGTGGTCTCCAGATCGCAGATACCGGCATCAGATCGGTTCTAGTTGATGCAGTAACGCCTTCTCTTCGACAATCACATTATCTAACTAGACAAGTCTGCACAAAGAAAATCCGCATGAGATACCATGAACGACATTCGAACTAGCAACACATTGCTCGAATTTCAAAGGTGAATTCGTCGTGTGTTTACCAAGTGTTTGTAGTTAGGGCTGAGATGAGCGAGCTCTGTGACCCGCAACCAGCTCGTAAGGATGAGTTGTGTTAGATGATGTAAATGGTAAATGATAAACGGTCTTATCAGTTGCCCCCGGGGTGGCCGAGTGGGTAGCTTGCTTGTGTTCCGCCTGTGAGGTCCCGGGTTCGATCCCCGATTGGCTCGATGGATTTGCTCACTACTGTTAATGAGACCGAACCAGGTCGAAACAGCTGTCCAGTGCTTCCTAGCTTTTGAGCTCACGCGTCATTTGCTATACACACGACGAATTCGCCGTTGAAATTAAATCAAATCTTCCACAACTCACGTGAAACAAGTACTCGAATTGACTGAACAATTCAACACTCGCCTATAATTAAGTTGTCCCGATCGAGAACAATGCAACGTAGCCGGTAATTTGTACCCCACACAAACAGGGGACAAGTTGGATCTGATCCGTTTTTTCTCTCATCGGTGAGTTGCACATGCATGCACTGGATTGGTCTACAACACGGAAACCCATTGCCTTTGCTTAACCATGTCCGGATTGCTAAAATCCCGTTGTGTCACTCCGTTCCCATTTCAGCTTCTTCGATCGTCAACACACGAAGAAAGCCACTTCGGAAATGTGAGTTCGCGTTCGGCGCACCCCGTGGCTGGTCAACTACAGTTTACTTGTTGTGCGTTTGTTTTCTCTTTACCTCAGTTTGTGAATTTCATTTCACACAACGTTCCGCGGATGTGTTTTTTGTGTGCAAACTGCTGCGTTTTACAAAGGTTGAAAATGGGGCCACAGCGCAGACACAGATTGCTATGTGGCTTTTTTAATTCGATCCAATTTTCACAGTTTTTTTTCACAAGCTTCACAATCACAGTCATAGGGTTTGTTTTGAATGCACTTAGGCCCCCTGGGAGACAAACCGCCATCGTAACTCAATCGGTCAGCATGGTCAAACTGCCGAACACACGCATACACACTAACCGGTATGATCCGCTCGGATCTTAGCTACCATTCAGGCACGATGTGTTTCGGGCCAGAATGTCGAATGGAATGATCAGGTCACTGGTTCGGCTCATCAGAATCGTTGTTCCTCTATTTTTTGCTATGCACACATTTTGTGCCCCTGAAAGCCTCAGCATGGTGGGTGTCTACTAGGGTTGCGGCTGATCATCCCACCCTTGCAATTCACGAAATGCTTCCATGAGACCAAACGTTATGTCATCACCAGATTGTGTGTGTACTTTCTTATACGTACTTGTTATTTTAGGACAATGTCCATACTTCAACATGGTGACCATACCTATCGCTCTCGTTTGTGTATTCCAGAAACACGTGTCGAAAGTCAGGCAGCACATCT